AATTTGAATAGTTCCAAAATAAGGTAGCCACTACAAAAGAAAATCTGGTAGCCTAGTTTTCCTCTGGTGAAGCTTATTAGTACTTAGAGAGTCTCTTTATTATATAAGTCAGCAAGTGCTATGCATACACTTGAAAGCAAACATCAGAGCTGTGTAGGACAAGCCAGAAATGTATTTTGCTCAAAACATCAACTTCTAAAGACATTGCAGACACTCACTTTTGTAACATTCAACATGAGCAGTTACATTTAAGAAATAATCCTGCCAGGGAAGGAAATGTCATCTAAAAGGAATACTACAACCTTTCCCAGAGATTTTTCTTTACCACAGTAGAAAATGGTATGAATATTTACAGATGTTTTAAATAGTGGAGGAAAACAGAAAACCTCCTAAATGCTTATTTATTAAGCTAACCATGCCTTTCACTACAGGTTATAAAGCAGTAGATCATGTTTTAGTTGTGGACTATCATTTAGAATAGAAAATTTTTATATTATTAATATCACCCACAGAGAGCAAAATTAAGTTTTAAAATTATTGTAAATCACAGTATTGATTATTTTTATAAATTTTATTTTTAAATGAAGCTTCCACTAAAAGATAAAGATAACAAAATAGAATGTGGATTCTATACATATTTATGCAAATGCTGACTAATTTACATGTATATCTATCACATAAAATGCTATAAATTGATTTTGTAGTAAATTTTGCATTCTTTGTTGGAATGACATTTTGACCAGGTCTTATTGTTTTTCTGTGCAGCCTGAACACTGATGCCGGAACTCCAAGTGATCAAAGACATGGATAGGTGCAGTAGCAGTTACCTGCTTATTTAGTGTTGTGATTCTTTAGAACTCATACTCAGATTCTTTTAAAATATGGAACATTCAATTACTATTTGTTCATAATTGATAAATAGAACCTTGAAGACATAGGAAAAATTCACTAAAAATTGAACCAATTTTTAGGGGGCAATCAAATTACCGAACATATTACTTCATAGTTTCTTTTCCCAGTTTCTTTAAATGAGCTCATAGTGCTTCACAGACATTATTGCATTTATCCACACTGCAGATTTATAGTGGGATAAGTGGGGTGGAACAATTTTGAAGATGGATAAAGTGTATTTCTAGATATATTGAGAAAATAAAATGTAGAAATACTTATTGAGCTGTGCTTATTATGAAATAGATTTCTATTTCTCCAATATGGTATTTAATAGAACCTATATTAGCAGACAATTTATTGGTACAAATGATTAATATTTGTTGTCATGACCTGTGAGCTCACTTTGTAGTAGAAATTGTGCCTAATTTGTTCTCTAAGAAAACAGAGAGCTTTATTTTCTAGATCAAGACATGCCTACATTTTCCTTTGAACTGATGATGTTGGAGCAAGTTATTTACTCCCTTGCTACTAGCACATCCCTTGTCTTTAAGGAAGACAATGATAAAAGATGATTCCCAGAATACCAAATATGCTTCCTTTATTCTTTTATTTTTCCTTTTCATCCTAAACACTGATTATTCCTTGTTATACTAGCAATAGAAAACAGAAATAATTTTAAGAATAAAAATGACAGAGAAAACAAAAGAGTAAGGCAATTATGATGAGCTCATTAACATCATGAATATTTACGCTCTTTATACTCTGTTCTAAGCATAATCAGGTAACTAGCATTTTCAAGAGATTTAGAAATAGTTCATTTGACCTGAATTGCTCAGAAAATATCCTGAAATATTTTTAACGGTTAACTTATTAAGATCAGACCACAACTTGGTGATTTTTACACCTCCTAAGAATTTAATAATCAGTACTTGAGTTATCAAAAACATTTAATGACACTTCTCAAGTACTAAATATTCTTACTAGACAGGCAAAAATCTTATTCATTGTGTAGTATCTGCCCTAGAACTAAGTTCTGTCATGATGAAAGTTCTATTCATGTAAATTGCCAGCTGAAATTTAATTCATTTTATCTTGTGGTAATACATGTAGTTTCTTTTGGAATACCAATAAACTGAAATAGCTTTTTAAAATAATACATTAATCCATATCAATATGATGTAGTTGTTATTCCACATCCTGAAGAATATCTTCTAAGCTACAAAGATTCTGATTTTGGTGATATACCCAGGGTCTAATTATATACAATCTACAATGTTTCAGCCAACTGCATCAAAAGTAATGCCAACTTAGAAATTATTTATGAAGGAAAATATTTTGGCAATATCAAATATATAATCTGAATAGCCATGATTTATGACTAAAAGTATAATATACAGAATCATCTCTTCATCATATAGACAAAGAACATATACCAAATGGTACTCAATATTGAATAGTACTTTCAAATTAGATCAGTTAAAATATAGTAGTGTGTCTTCTTAACTATTTTAGATGAATGGCACACATCTTTTTTTTTTACTTGCATTTCCCACTTGTTTGCCCTCTTTATGATGCCTTATGTTAGTTATTCTTTTCTATAAACTTTAAATGTATAACACAGGAAGGGGGGAAGTGTCACACTTACTGGATTTGGGACAGCTAAATGTGCCTCTTGAAGGATTCAACCTATCATTAGAGAGGGTCTTATATGGAGACCATACCAAACTCCTGTGCGATCCAAGTGACACATTTCTACAATGAGGGAAGGATTGCACAAACTTGTATTTTTACTTAAAGCACTGCTATGTATATATACATGTAATTCCCCATTTTACCCATTGAATATATATTAAAGCAGTAAACTAACTGCCCACTCACCCCAAGTGCCAATGTATGTGTCCTTCTTACAAATTTCAAAGCACCGAACATTCCTCTGGGAAGGGATTTTGATTGTTTTTTTTAAATCTATAATAATGTTTACACATAGAATGAATCTAAGATCATCTCTGTTTGAGGTTCAAGTATAAACTCTCTTAAAAACATGAAGCAGTCAACTACTAATTAGCTATTGCCTATTCCTAATGAAGTGAGCACGGCAAATTTGGATTAAAATTCAGCAGCAGGTCTCTTCTGTTTATGCTTCCAGATGTTTTTGTTTTATCTAGGAGTTTACTTTGACAGCTACTACTAAATGATAAATCACTCATATTATAGCTGACATGCATTTTGAATTGAAACGTGGCAAACTTTGAGACTGTTCCAAGGAACAGTGCTGATTACCAGGTCAATACTTGTTCCTTCCTTATCATCAGTCTGTATTGGAATATTCAGAAAAGTAATAGATGATGTCTCAATATTATAGAATATGTCACACTATTTAAATCCTACTATCCTTAAATTTGGAGAAGTTTTACTACTGGACTCTCAAATCATTTCATTCTGGGTAAACCAATTGATTTACATAATAATATTGTCTTCTTGGTAGCCTAGTGTTTCTGATTTGCAAGCTGATGTGAAAACTATTCCTTATAGGCTTTGTAAGTGGGCACATTTGATGAAAGATGTTGACAGATATGTTTGTCACTTGTAATGAAGATAAGAATTAAATGTAATAAAGTGAAAGATTTTTCAAAAACTGCATTTTTCCAAAAGACAAATGGTGATTTTTTTTCCATTTATTTCTGTGTTTATATAACTCTTTAGATGACGTGGTTTGTTTTAATCTTGCTATAGAATTTGAAATGTTCACAATTTGCACTGCATGATTCAATTCTTCTTATTATTATATAAATTTCAATCCTGGTTAAAATGACTGGATGTTGATGAGCTTTCCATTAATACTGAGGCTGTGTGTACAGAGGATAAGGTGGATTGTAGAACTGAGCAACTAATTTTATCACAGCTTGAACAATCTAGAGACAAGAATTTCACTACTGTGTTCAGAATCTATCTCCAAAACACTAGCCTAAACACTTTTCTAAGATTAAAGATTAAAGAACAATTTTTATAAATATGTTTTTGTTTTCAAGTCCCTGTAAATTCAAGTTAGTTCCATTTCTTTCTTGGGCAAATTTCTATTTACCTTCTAATGAAGTCTAGCACACTAGAGTTTCTGAATAACATAAAATCCAATTATTTTATTTTGTTATCTTATATCTTCTTGATTTTTAGTTGTAAAATGTTTCCCGTGTAATAACATGAAAACTTCTTCACAGAAAAAATATTTTAGATATTTCCATATTTTACCCCTTACAATTAAAACCTTTTCCAATCTGAGATGATTTTAAAAAGGTAGTGTCAGTCAAGTGCGGTGATGCTTGCTTCCTTCTACAGAGGGTACATGTGATTTAAAAAGATGTAATTTTAAGTGTTTCTTGAGCACAGGGAATGGATTTGTGCTAATTTATAGATGCATTCTTTTGTAACCAAAGGCTGACTTTTTTTAAATTTAGATTGCTAAACATGCAGGTCATAAGCTATTACAATGCAAAAGAGCAATTTTAAACCCAAAGAATCAGAATAAAATTTCTTTTTCATTTTCAATAATAAACTTTACCTATATCAATCAAATGATATCTAACTACCAGATGATATGGACTCTATATTACAAATATTTAAATTAATATTGACTTTACCACTTAAGGTTCAAATGATATCAAGAACTAGTCTCTATATGGTATGCACAGACTTACAGTTAAGATGGGGAATGAAAATTCTAAATGCACAAATCTATAATTATTTTAGGGCCAAACCAGGTAAAGTCTTTCCTTCTGTCTTGGTAAAGCACAGGAGCTTCAAGTGTAACTTTATGTACAAAAGGAAAAGCTAATATAGATCCCTATAGACATTATAAATAGTTTATGACAAGAGTATCAGTTTTCCATGTCTTCAATGCTATGTAAAGAAGAGAAGCTATAGCATGAAGTTTACTTGAAGGATCTTTGAAATCTTATGTATTAACGTAAAGAGATGTTAAGTTTTACCAATATTAAATCAATCCTGTTCCATCAAATAATTTTACATTCCTGAAGCTAGATGTTTTAGAACTTTCATACCTATGTTTCAGTAATGTTTCACAGAAGAACTAACACTTTTTCTTTTCTTTAAAGGAGGTAACTATGACTGTTTAGCAATGGCACAGCAGTTGTGTTCAGCCTGAACTTCCTGGCTTTACATTAATGAAGATGCTTGTGATTCCAGTATATATCTGAAAATATTCATCATCGAATTATTTCAGTTGTGTTTATCAGGAAAGTTTTGTTTACTGAATCATCTTTTCTGTGTTACATTAAGGAAGAAGGAACATGTGCATATTTCAAAAGCAATGATGTAAACTTTGTCCTTGTATTAGATTGACCAATTTAAGAACATGAACTAAACCCTGCCTAATGTTAACTTGACTATATTTGATGCATTTTTATGCTAATTTCTGCTTGGCTTTTTGTCCTTCAAAGAAAAAAAATACAGTAGTGTCTTAGAAACTAGAAACTTACATGTATTGTTTCTCTGTTCTACCGTATGTTAAGTTAAAGTACAATTTTGTTTAAAGTGTACTTGATAAACTTCAGTATAAATAAAAGCATTTTGACTTTGTCAGTTATCACTGAGTTTTTATTTTCATATTGCCAGCTACAATCATTGAGGAATATAGCATAAACATTAAAATCAATATCTAGAAAGGATGAAGATGCTGGTATGGCTTTCTTTAGTGTTACATTCAAAAATATGAATGTACTTTTTCCAGTTCACTTGTTTAAAATTGCCAATATACTTGTTTTAAATTGTGTTAGTGAATTACACTAGATTTAATCTTTCTGCATGTGTATGCTTAATGATTCTACTTCTAGGATAGAGGATTGTAATCAGAAGTAGAAAAATGTCATAAATGAAGAACTAGGAACTAGAAAATCTTCTCTGTATATCTATTTCCAAAAGTTTCTTTTAGACTCACTTTCAGTTGAAAACTATCTGAAATAAAGCTATATGTGTGTGTGTGTATGTGTGTGTGTTATACATTAAAAATACACATATACATATATATGATTTATTAGTTCTTTACCTAACAAAACTGAAAATATTTCAAATTAATGTGATATCTTGCTTTACCTTTGATTTTTGCTGTGAATTTCAATAAGCAACACCGATATAACCATACTACAAGTTGAATGGCATACTACCTTAAACTTTTCTCCTCAAAATAAATTTTCCTATGATCTGTAAGTTTGTCCTCGCAGTCTCAGAGCACTTGAACCAATCTTCAAAACCTCACTCCTGTTCTCTGCACCTACTAACATCAAAATCAGTGTTCCTGAAATAGTCATCACTACAACACATCAGTTGCTCCCACCACTTAGAAAACTGAAATCAAGAAGAAATTATTCCACCCCATATTCACAAAGATTCATTGGTTATATCTTTGGGTCAGACAGAGAACTCAAAATGACATTATTTTTCTAATTGACAAGATTTCTGTGTCTGAGAGTTGGAATTTTTTTAATTGTGTCTTTTTTTAAAATTTATTTGTTTATTTATTAAAAGTTTCCACCTCCTCCCCGCCTCCCTTTTCCTTCTCCCTCCCCCCCTCCCCCTCCCTCTCTAGCCCTAAGAGCAGTCAGGTTTCCCTGCCCCATGGGACGTCCAAGGTCTTCCCCCCTCCATCCATGTCTATAAAGGTAAGCATCCAAACAAACCAGGCTCCCACAAAGTCAGTCCATGCAGTAGAATCGAAACCCAGTGCCATTGTCCCTGGCCACTCAGTCAGCCTTCATTGCCAGCCACAGAGTGTTCAGTTTGATCACATGCTCCATAGCTCCCAGTTCAGCTGGCCTTGGTGAGCTCCCATTAGATCAGACCCAGTGTCTCAGTGGGTGGATGCACACTTCGTGATCCTGACTTCCTTGCTCATGTTCTCCCTTCTTCTGCTCCTCATTTGGACCTTGGGAGCTCAGTCCAGTGCTCCAATGTGGGTCTCTGTCTCTATCTCCATCCATTGCCAGATGAAGGTTCTATGGGGATATGCAAGATATTCATCAGTGTGGTGGTTATGGGACAAGGCCAGTTCAGGCACTCTCTCCTCTGTTGCCCAAGGAACAATCTGGGGACCTCTCCTTGGACCTGGGAACCCCTCTAGAATCAAGTCTCTTGCAAACCCTAAAATGGCTCCCTTAATAAAGATATTTACTTCCCTGCTCCCATATCCATCCTTCCTCCATCCCACCCATCCCATTCCCCCAAGCTTTGCCTAATCCTCCGTTTCTTCCTTCTCTCTACCCATCTCCCCTTACATCCACCTCCACCCCCATCCCCGTGCACCCATGTTTTGCCTGACAATCTTGTCTATTTCCAATATCCAGGAGGATAACTATATGATTTTCTTTAGGTTCACCTTCTTATTTAACTTCTCTAGGATCACGAATTATAGACTTAAAGTCCTTTAATTATGGCTAGAATGCACTTTTGAGTGAGTACATACCATATTCTTCTTTTGGATCTGGGTTACCTCACTCAGTAAAGTGTTTTCTTTTTCCATCCATTTGCATGCATAATTCAAGATGTCATTGTTTTTTACCGCTGAGTAAAACTCTAAAGTGTATATGTTAACCACATATATTTGTATAGGCACACATTTTTATGAGTATAATGGTACTTCTGCTTGTTTGTGTAAGTAAACACTTTAAACGAAAAATTTTGCATTATAAAAATACATTTTATTTTAATCAATGAAATTTACATTGAGGTTGTTAAACATATTCCAATTTGAATTAATCTTTGACAGGGAATAAGATGAGACGTAAAACTAAATTTTCCAAATGGTTAAAACTATACCTTGGAGTGCTAAAATATTGGGAGAAGTAGTCCTTGAATTTAAGAAATGAAGTAAATGTATATACCATGTTTTCTCTACCTCCACAGTGTTTTGTCTAATTTATATTTGTTTTAAAATTGAAGATGATTATTGTAATATTATCCTTATAAATTACCATGGTTAAAGTCCTGATTTTCTGAACTTTTTTAGAATGCTGAATCTATTCTCCTTTGTTTAACTTTTTGCCTGACCTTTATCAATAACAATTTGTAACTGACCCCTCTAAACAATGATAAATATCCATAACCCAATGAAAGATAAAATCTAGCCACCCCATCTCTTGGGAATGTGGGCATCATGTTTTTAAATTTACTTGCTGCTGTTTGAGGTGATGGTAGTTTCAGGGAATCATGAAAAGAAAAGCTTAGGTTGTCAAGTCCTGAGAGAAGTAGCTGTATCATTTGTTGTCTAGTCTTCATGCAATGGGAAAATTCAGGGCTTTTCGCAAGTACTGGCTAGAGTAATCTGTGATTCTGGGTCATCTCAGCTAGCCACCTCAAAATTATTGTGAGAAGGTTGTAGTCCAAAGCAGATCTTTAAGTGATGTTTGTCAGCTTAGTGGTCTTAGCATAGTCTTGGTGGAATCAATGTTGTGGGTCCCCATCCTCCTTTTGAAGACTTCAAAAGTCACTGTTAGGCATGGTCTTGGTTCACTACAGAAAACTGTAACACTTTAAACATCAAAGAGGTTAAAGGACTATACTTCATTATGTACATCAAGTACAGAAAAGGGATTTCTAATACCTGATAGAGACTCAAACCTAAAATCATGTATAGGAAGCTAAATGAACCATTTTTCTAGAATTAGTTAGTATTCTATATGACCACTAATGTTATGACAAAAAGTTTAAATACAAACTACACACATACACACACACACACACACACACACACACACACACATATATATATATATATATCTGATAAATTTGAGGTAATATTTATACCTTAAAATACTGTTAAAGAGTCAAAATAATCAATATTAGTGGAAATAAAATAGGCTCTTAAATTTGATTTTTCTTCTGTCCCATATCAGGAGGCTCTTCTGAGATGACTCTGAGATTTAGATTTTGCTTTAACAAGCAAGCTTATTTTTAGAGAAGGGGAGAGTCACACTCCAACTCCAAAGCCAGCTTTAATCTTTAATTAGACTGGACTACAAAAAGACCATTTGATGTACATGTCTGTAGACAATAGCAGAAATGAACAATTTGGAAGATTTGGAAATGTGATATACCAATAGGCCAATTTACTCCTTTTTCTCAAACTTTTTTTCTGAATAACTTGTCCTATTTCTTTAGAGGTCTCATTTGTCCAGTGGTCTTCAGATTCCTTAGCTGAACACTCATATTTTCCTGAAAAGACAAAAAGAAAATCCTGCCCCAACCCTAATTTTGGGAGGTCCTTTTTGGCAAATTTTGTCTGATCAAATGAGAAGCATTTCTTATTCATATAAGTTAGTTGAAATTAAATGGTCAAGTTGGTTGATGAACTATCACCTCTTGTAATCAAGAGGTCTCTCATGTTCAAATAAAAACTCTATCAATGTTGATGGTATTCATAGCCTTTACTCTACTGTGGAAACAAAAACAAAACCCTTAACCAATATAAAACATATCCTGGTTTCCATTCTGAAGTCTACACATCATTAAAGTATACAGGCTGATTTCATTCCATAGATTTTTCTATTATCCAATAATATCATCTCTTTAAGCTGTTGTTCTGTTTTTATTAACATATACAAAATTGAAAGTTAACAAAGCATTATGCATGCCCAGTTCATAAAGCATAGCATCAGACAGTACAAACAAGAGCACTTGCTTGTGCAAATGGCTAACACAGTGCATACAGAGTCTCTTCGATGCCCTTCTTCCTCTTGAAGTAATTGGTGCTGCCAGGAACAGATGTGTCTCATTGCCATGAAAAGTCCTAAGTTCTTAAATATTTAAATGCCATATTCTGTAGTCTTTGAAAGGCTTGAAGAATGCCTCCATATGAAATACCTTTGTGTATATCTAGAAAATCTAACATGACTACAAGTCTGACTATTTTGTTGAGAAAGTTTTCTGTCCCATTCAGTCCCACAGAGGTCTATATTAATTAGAAACTGATTGGCATATTAGCTTATAACATATTAGCCCATAATTCTTGCCTGTGTTAGCCACATAGCTTGGCACCTTTTATCAGTGAGGCAGTCTCATCTTGCTTCCTCTATGTGTGAATGAAGACTGTAGCCTGAACCTTTTCACTTTCCAGAATTCTCATATTCTTGTTGCCCCATATACTTCCTGCCTGTTTGTCCCACCTATATTTCCTGTCTGGCTACTGGCCAATCCGGGGTTTATTAAAATACAATTGATAAATCTTTAAAGGGTACAAGATCATTGTCCCACAGCACTACCCCCCAATTTTTTTCAAAACAAGAACTCTGAATCTAATCTTCTTTGTTTAACTTTTTTCGTGACCATTATTCATAACAACTTGTAAACAACACTCTAAACAAAGAAAAACATCCATAATCCATTTTCTGGTAATGTGGGCATAGTTTTCTAGGCTACTTCCTGCTGATTGGGTTGGCTGATAATCTTATGGGGAACTAAAGAGAAAATTTGAATTACGGACAAGTCCTGCCTGGAGTATGCTATGAGGGCTTGATCAGCTCAGACAGCAGTCTTGAGGCTGTTCTGGATGTAGAACTCAGATATGTTGGCCATCTTCTCTTATCAGAGATATCTCAGGGGGTATTCCTTGATTAAACCTGATTTTTCTTAACCCAGAATGAATCGACAACTTCTTATTTTCTGTGGCAACAAAAAAACCCTCTTCTCCAAATTAACATATCTTTTGAGTTAAATATTGAAACCAAGGCATTTTCAAAATACATATGTTAAATTAATCCAGCAGCATTTATTATCAAATATGTTTTAGCATCTGTTGTTCCTTCCTCAGTATTCAAACAATTCAAAGACAACACAGTAACATACAGTATCCAGACTCTCTGTGTATTCTCCATTTTTACATGGCTTTATTTTAAATTCTACTTTTTGTAATATGAGGGGTCGGCCTGTTGGTGTATCTGTCCCGCCTGGCACACCACAGCTGGCATACCCCAAAGAAAATCACACACAGG